CAAATACGAAGCGACATATCGCAGTATCGATACGTGCTGGTGCATCTGGACGAGACTACTCTACCGTTCGTCGCAGACATAATTACATCGCCACCCGTTGACGGTAAGTTCTTGGCGCTGAAGACGCGATTACTCAATACATTTGAAGAGAGTGGGGAAAGTAAACTGCGACGTTTGCTTCACAATACCGAGTTCACTGATGGGAAGCCATCTCACTACCTCCTCCGGCTCAAAAGTTTGGCCGCTGGTATGGTGACCGAAAACATCCTGCGTACGATCTTTCTTGAACAAATGCCGCAGAACGTTCGCAGTATTTTGGCCGTTAACGACACTAGCGGCCTGGATCACCTCGCCGTGCAGGCAGACAAAATTTTTGAGGTACAAAAGAGCATAATGTTTGTGTCCGCAAAAACCGTCAACGATGCCGTAACAGGCACCGAATCTCCAAAAACGCCTTCATTCGGTATGGACGAATTATCTGCTCAGCTACAAGCGCTTACCACGGCAGTTAATAAAACCAATAACGATAGGGCAAAGGAGGTTACGAAAGACGTCTGCTATTATCACACACGGTTCGGCGCACAAGCAAAGAAGTGCCGACAGCCTTGCAGTTTCCGCAAAAACACGAATTTAAACTAACACGGCCGTCAGTCATCCTCGTAGGCACTGCTGACGGTCCGTTCAATTCGCGCCTACAAATCACCGATTCAAAAAATCGCCTCAAATTCCTCGTCGACACTGGCGCCGACATATCAGTGTTACCCAGGGGAGTCCTCAATAACATTCGAACAGATTTCAAAAAAACTGAATTTACTCTCTTTGCAGCTAATGGCTCAAAGATACGTACTTACGGTTCACAGCAACTATCGCTCGATATCGGCCTCGGCCGAACATTTAACTGGCAGTTCACAGTCGCGGACGTAGCGCACCCTATACTGGGTGCCGACTTTATCAAACACAATAACTTGCTCGTTGACCTTCGCAATCGCAGACTTCTTGATTCGGACTCAACAGTCAAAACTTCGCGGTCTTCATGTTCACCTGTAAACTGTAACCAGCGACCTGTCACATCGATGCCTGAGACCAAAGTCCTAACACCACATCCATCCGGAGCATCCGCACGGGTTACATCCATCACCTGCAGTAACCCGGTGAAGCGCCTTCTACGGGAATTCGAGGTCGTCACGAAACCGACTGATCAACACACACCTAAACATAGTGTTCAGCACTACATAACTACGCGAGGAACGCCTGTCGCAGAGAGAGCCCGTCGCCTCGCAGGTGAAAAACTCACAGCGGCCAAGAATGAATTTGATACCATGTTAAAACAAGGTATCTGCGTTCCGTCTAAGAGCGAATGGGCCAGCCCTTTACACCTTGTTCGAAAAAAAGATGGAACATGGCGCGCCTGTGGGGACTATCGCAGGCTTAATCGAGTTACAGTACCGGACCGATACCCCATTCCGCACCTCCGCGACTTCTCGTATCTGTTGCATGAATGCAGCGTGTTCACAACGCTGGATCTTACTCGAGCGTACTATCAGATTCCTGTAGCACTCGAAGACCGACCGAAAACAGCCGTAATAACACCGTTTGGCTTATTCGAGTTTAAGGTAATGACTTTCGGACTGTGCAACGCCGCACAGTCATTTCAACGGTTGATGGATTCCATATTTCGGGATTTGGATTTCTGCCACGTCTACATCGATGACATATTGATAGCATCCAAATCCCTCGAAGAACATAAAAAACACCTGCGCATAGTATTTGAGCGTCTTAAACAACACGGTCTTTCGATCAACGTCAACAAATGTACGTTTGCCCAACAGGAGGTGATATACCTCGGCCATACGATCGATAGCAAAGGACTCAGACCCACCACTGAGCGCATTGAAGCAATGCGTGAATACCCGAACCGCAAACAATCGCCGATCTTCGCCGTTTCTTGGGCTCATGGAATTTTTACAGACTAAACATGCCTCGTGCCGCAGAAATTCACGCTCCGCTAATCGCACTTACCGCGGGGGCAAGTAAAAATGACAAACGCCTCATTGCATGGAATGAGGTAACGTCAAAAGCCTTCGAAGAGTGTAAAAAAGCACTCGTAGACGCTGTCCAGCTGGCATACCCCGCGGCAGACGTTTCTCTAACACTTCGCTGCGATGCCTCGAATCAGTCAGTAGGAGCAGCGCTTGACCAAACGGTCAATGGCGTGTTACAACCATTAGGGTTCTACACGGCTAAGCTCAGTAAACCAGAGCGTAACTATAGCGCCTACGATCGCGAGCTGTTAGCGATTTTCAAAGGCATACGATTCTTTAAACATTTACTCGAGGGCCGTAATGTCACAGTTCTCACCGACCACCGCCCACTTTCGTTCGCCTTGGACCAAAACTCCGACAAGGCTTCGCCTCGGCAACAACGTCAACTTCAATATATCAGCCAGTTTACCAACACGATCATACATACACCGGGTCAAGAAAATATAGTGGCCGACGCACTGTCGCGGATCAACACGATAAATCTGCCCGTAACTGTTTCAGCTAAGGAGATTGAACAGGAACAACGAGAAGACCAGGAGCTACATCATCTTTTGCGTTCAAACTCGACGTCCTTGCAACTACAGAAACTCAAAATCGACGACTCGGACGCAGAGCTATTTTGTGACACATCAACGGGTAAGGTAAGACCATACATACCTACCTCAATACGACGAAAGCTGTTCGAGCAGACGCACAACATCTCACACCCCAACGGACGTGCAACACAAAAGCTCATAAGCCAACAATACGTGTGGCCGCACATGAACCGGGATAACTTGCGCTGGGTTCATAGCTGCCTGCCGTGCCAAAGAAGCAAGGTTCACCGACATTTTAAAAACATACCGCAACACATAGAAATACCAAGCGAACGTTTCAAGCACGTCCACGTCGATATTATCGTCATGCCACTTTGTGACGGATTTAGGTACTGCCTGACGATAATTGATCGCTACACTCGCTGGCCTGAAGCGGTACCTCTCAAAGATATTTACACCGACACAGTGGTTAAAGCATTTTTCAGCAGTTGGGTGAGCCGTTTCGGAGCACCATCATCAGTCACCAGCGACCGGGGCTCCCAATTCGAGTCTAAGCTTTTCAACGCCTTCACCCAACTCATAGGTTGCAACCGAACCCGAACAACTGCCTTCCATCCGGCATCCAACGGTATGGTCGAGCGTTGGCATAGGTCGCTCAAGGCAGCTATCAGGTGCCATGCTTCACCAAACTGGGTAAATACACTTCCGGTGGTGTTGCTCGGTCTTCGCACGAGTTTTAAAGAAGATATCAAGGCCAGTGTCGCTGAAATGCTCTACGGCACTACACTCCGCTTGCCGGGTGCATTCTTTATTGATGTCGAAATGGGTCCGGAACCACAACACTTCGTGGAAGTATTCAGAGAGTTCATGCGTGCAGTGCGATCTTCGCCCACAGCTCATCACAACAGATCTTGAGCGTTTAAACATACTACTCTACACCTTTGTACTCATGTGTTCGTACGAGTAGATGAAGTTAAAAAACCACTTGAACAGCCGTATCGTGGTCCCTATAAGGTGCTAGAGCGCATAACTGACTTTGTGTTCAAGGTGGACGTCGACGGTAATGCAACCACGATCTCAACAGAAAGACTTAAACCAGCATTTATAGAAGCCGAGCATCAAGGCTTGAGCAACGCGCTCGGAAATCCAACCACACTGCCGTCATCGAGTGGTTCCATGTGGCCAAACAACATGCGCACATACTCCAGAACAGAGCAATGTAAGAATCCGTGACTTCTCATGTGCATTAAAGTCACTCCGGGGGGGCTACTGTGGCCAAACTCTCACTTTTCTAAGGAAGCGGCAACAC